TAATGAATCAATTAAATAAACATATAAAAATATATAAACAAAAAAAAAGAAAATAATCGAATATATGTATATACATATATATTTCAAATATACAAGGGAGAAATATGTATAATCACTCGGAGCGGATCCCGCTGATATAATTGTCCATACATAATATTAAATTTTGAACGGACATTTCTCAAGCTCAGTTCCATCTTCTGCAAGCTTACCAGCAAATTCTAGAGAAGCACCAATCTTATGAGTCCACTACTTACCAAGGAAGCGCTTCTCGGCGCGTCGATAGTCATTCCAATCAAGATCGGCATAGCCAGCATAGCTGGGATACCACCAATAGCTTTGCATGGGGTCGGCATAGTCCGGAGCGGCGGCGCCGACGGCGGGCAGAAGCATCTCCTCGTCCTCGCGCTTCTGCTGCACGCCATGAACTGGCGATGACTTCAAGGCGCCCAGGTTGCGCTTCTCGCCGCTGTTGCGCTGATTCTGGTGCTGTTGCGAATTGTAGCGTGCCACGGCGGCGACATTCCGCTTGGGCTGCTCGCGATGGGTGCTGGGCGCGCTCTGCAGCCGGGCCATGGTGGCAACGTTGCGTTTGCCGTTGGGCAACTGGAAGTCACGCGCCAGGGTGCCCACATTGCGCTTGCCAAAGCTCATCAGACCGCCGGCACGCGCAAGCGAGCCAATGTACCGCTTCTGCTCGCTTGGCTCCCCAGACTCGGCATCGGCATAGTCGTCGCCGGGCTCGGCCGTCGGCAGCTGTCCGTTCTTGGCCAACGTGGCCAGACTGCGCTTGGGTGCATTCAGCAGTCCCTGTGCGGCCAAAGCAGCCACGGAACGCTTGTCCTCGTCCAAGTAGTCGCCGTAGTCGCCCTGTTGCTGCTGCTCCTCGCGTTCACGCAGTAGATTCTTAAGCTGATTGCGCAAGGCGGAAGCCTGGCAGAAAAGGCAAAATGAGAGAATCACAGCAAGGGAATGTGTAAGACGGAGATAAGTAAGAATGAATAAAAAGAGAGGAGGACAAAAGAAATTAAAAAAGTGAACGGACAATGAAGCAGTCGATGAAACACACATCCAAAATAATAGAGTTGAGATTAGAGACAAGTTGAAAGATAAGATGGGGATAATAGAGAAGAAGTATATATTATATAGAAACGGAAATTATGAACAGAGTCGGGAAGGATATTTATTAAAAAAGGAGTAAGAGGAAGGTAAAGAATTGTTAAGAAGAAAATAAACACATTGAAGAGACAACAGACAGAAAATAAAGAGATGATAAGAAGATTTAGTGTCAAATGCTTAAAGCCCGCACAGCTGCCATGGCTTGACTGAATAGGGAGAGAGCAGGGTAATCCTTTGGATAGCTTACGTGTAGCTGATACTCCGGGCTGGGATTCAACAGTTGATTTATTATGGTCTCCATCTCACAGGGCGACACGTTGCCAATATCCTCCGCGGCATTCACAGCGAAATCGCGTGGCTGAACGGCCTGCAAAATGGAAAAGAATTTTGCGCCAAGTGAAAAATTTGCTTGCATTCAAGACGAAAGACATTTCAATTAGCTGACGGTGCAGGAGTCGGTGCAGAAGTCGCGCTGCGGACTCGCACCGAGCTCGCTTAATGGACGCAATTATTTACAGTAAATTAATTTTTAAATGTGTCGATGTTTGGCGCTTTTCCTGCCTGACGGACTGCCCTGACAGCTCTGCGAAAGCCTGCGCCTCAAGATGGCAGCTGTGGAAATTTATCGCTTTATTTGTGGCATACTTTCGTGCGCCATTCATCACCAGCTCGAGCGCAACACATTAACGCGCAATTCCGCATATTTATTTAATGCCAGCCACTTACAGAGCTGCCAAACTGTTGCTCATGGCTATTTTTAGCATATTGCTGAAGGAAGTAGGACGGGAAAATCCTTTCACTCAAAGTTCCGCCATCTGGCATTTCTTTTAACTACTTTCAAGAGCGGAATTCTCAGCTGCATAGCCGTGCTATAAGTTTATAATTGAAAACGGGTTACAGTATTTCATAAAGCTTATGAAGCTCCTACTCCCATACCACTCTTACGAAGAAATTGTCTTGGAAAAACTTTGTTAAAAACTTTCGCATACAAAATATTCTCTTAAATAGAAGTTTGTGTTTGAGACACTTTTCTTAGCTTTACCTTGTCCCATGTAAATAAATTGCGTTAAGTGTTCAGGTAGACTCTATTTATGCCAATGCATACTAGATATTGTTCTCATCTTCAGTTCAGAGCTAATCCTACTTAGCAACCGGCCAGCAAATAACGTAAGCACTCTCAAGGTCTGTCATATCTTATTTTTTACTCACACCGAAGGCGAAAAAGTAGACTCAACACATGTGCTAGGCGGAGCGTGCTGCAAAACCTAAGCTGAACTCATAATATTTAGCTTTGAACACACACACGCACACATTCACAGCAGGAGGCGGAGAGGACAGTGGGCACAAGACCAAGCACAGTTTGTCGAGCAAATGGTGCTTCAAGCGAAAGGATAACACCAAGCAGCTGAGGAAAAAGACGGAGAGCGCCTCCTGCTCGAGTGTGTGCCGGTCGGTGTGCGTGTTGTTTCCTGCTGCTGCGAGACAATATATTTGGCTTTTAATAAACCAACGGCTGGATAGAGGGGTAAACAGGGGCGGTGCCTGTTGTGCGGCAGCAGGATGTGCCGTAGTATGTGTTTGCCAGCGGCGCAAACGTCCGCAGTGCAAACGCCGTAAATCTCAAACAGAAATTGACAACTACTTATGTGCACTCAAGTGTGTGTGAATACGTGTGTATGTGTGTGCCTGTGTGTGTGCTGGCTGCTTAGCAGTCAAATCTTATCCCATATTAGCACTAGAAATAACGCCTTGCAGGTGTTTGCTACATCAACTGAATGATATCCTGCAGCTCTTTTATTTATATGATAAGCTTTCAGGATTTGCGCATAATAAAGCCTAATTGGCAGCTCAGAGAAATTAATGAGAATTTCTGATAGACAACTAATGGGCAGTAAGCTGAAAGCAAATATCGATTAGATAAGTCTTTAAAATATTGATAATATAATAATCATAGGAATCGATAATATTAAATAACATTTCGTAACCCGCCAGCAAGCAAAAATAAATTCAATTTCAAAATAAATCAAGTCAAAATAGGTCTTAAAATTGAAATGCTTAACAACTTCAGACTCCCATTGAAAATAATTTCAATAATAATTTATGAGAGCGAATTATTTTATCAGCAATTTTCTAAGCATTTATCAAAAGCTTTTCCGCACGCCATAAATATAAATTTTTATTGTTTTGGGAAAGCTCATTTAAGCGAAATTAATATTCACTCAGTGTAATCGAACAGCAGAAAACAAAAAAACAAAAACAAAAAATAATGTAAAAGCAATCGAGAACATTTTCTCTTATTGACTTTGCACTCAATGAAAATTGTGGCACTCACAAATATGCATGAAAATGTTTGGCAGTGGCATAAGCGATGGCTGTTTAATCTTAAATATGCATGCGAATAGCATAAATCGTTGTATTACAATGCGAAAAATGTACACAATGTTGTTGCATATTCCCGAGCGGGATGCCCTTTGTGTATATTTATTCATGTGAGTTGCGCAGATTGCGATAGCAAACAAACAACGACAACAATAGCAACAACTATGTGTTCAGTCTGCCTCTGACGCACTTCCTTTCTGACTCTCTCTCTCTGTCTCTTTTCACATAAACCTGCCAATTCATGGCAGCAACTCACGAGCGCCCAAAGCATGCAGCAAAAATTTAATTTCAAAATTCAAGCTCTCAAATTCCAGAAAACACTTCAGTTTTTTTTTTGAAATAGTGCCGCGTCACAGCTAGAGTCTCAAGCCCAAAATAAACAAGGGCGCAGAGGCGTAGAGGCGTCGAGGCGTGGCAGGTATCGCATATTTTACTTTTCTCCTCGGCTATCGTAAAAATGTTCTTGTCGCAGCAAATGAAGCGCGCAGCTTTACCAGACCCCAAAAATGTGCGCTGACTAAATTGTTTGCCTCGCTACTTTGTCTAATTTTTGTGCATAACTAGAGGAATATACTATAGAGAAACGGAAAAACACAGCGGGCGAGAGGGACAATTTGGTAGGTAAAGACATTGCTGCTCGGAATATTTTAAATTTATGACTAAAGATAAAGGAAATAAAAATATTTGCTGTCTGAAAAGTTGCTTTCAAGCAAAAATTATTCTTAGCGGCATTGAAAAAATTGCGAACTGTAAGAGAACAAACATTTGTCGACCTAGGCTTAAAATATTTTAAATTAAATTATAAATAGAGTGAAAAGATTTGAAAATACGAGAGGAAATAATAGTATAAAATAAAAGGTACCTAAAACATTTTTATTTAAAAAATACTAATACTAATATTTTAATTCTAACACATTTTCTTAATAATTAAAAATATATATTAAAAAATAGTACTTAAAGTGTATAAAAAAGGTATAATTATAATGAATAAACAAACACTCTTAAAATTAAAATGTCCTTCAAAAAGTTTAATGTTTAAATAACTATTAATTTAAATAAAAGCATTAAATATCGAATTAAAGATAGCTATAATAATTTTCTTTTTAATTTAAAATTTTCGAATAGTCATGATTTTTATTTAACAATTTAAAATAATTTAAATTTACAACAATAATAAAATTATATAAATAAATAAAACAAACATTTAAAAAGAACTGAATAAAAACGCATTAAATTCCTTAATTTAAAAGAAACTTTATAGTCAATTTTTTTTTAATTAATTTAATTTATATCAATTATATCACAAATATTTGCAGGTTTTAATGATAATTYCTGCGTGCTGCATAATTAAAATTTCCACCTCTAATAAAGTTTTATGTTTACTTCTCGCTGATTGTGCAGCAAATTTCATTATTTAATTTGCCGGGGCGTAATTAAAAGTTGAACTCCTTTACAATTGACAACTCGAAAGTGACAAACGCCGACCGCGTCCCCTGGCGCTATAAAAATTCAATTAAAATGCAAAATAAAACACGAGAAAAACAAATGAGAAATGTCAATTGAAATTACCGTTCAATAAATGTCTGACAAGAGCTGCCATCGCACAGGACAGGCCATAACAAGTGAGCTCTTTGACTACTTCGATACGTCTCAATTCGATTTGTATCCTTAGCTAATTGGCCGTAATGTTGTATTACTCCAGCTCAACGGTATGCAAAATCCAACAGTTGAGTCAGCTTTGTGGCCAAGGACTCGTTAGCCACGCCCAGCTTAACTGCCCGCCCACAACTCCTGGCCCACTATGCCAGTCTGTTGTTAGCAACAGCCTCTGTCCTCGCCTGTTGAGCAGCTTATGTCCTGCCGCAAGCAAATTTTATTATCGCCCAAGCCGGTGCCTGCCTTAAGCTTTATTTTTTGTTTGCCTGTTACTGTTGCTGTTGTGGTCATACTCTTACTTTGGGTATCGCAAATTTTTAAGATATTATGTAAAACTATAATGTCGAGATCTTTGGAATCATTATGTAGTTGTATTTTGAAAACTCTTGCCGACACTTTTTCATATTATCAAATATAAAACTAAAAAAATTAAATTTAATTTAAATTAAGATAAA